TGTCTGGACTAAAATTATACCTCATATTTAAGGTGACTGTAATGTATGTTATTTTATATTTCTGTTTCAGTTTTCAAAAGAGAACATGTTCGGCTATTGTGATTTAGTCTTTTTTTTTTTTTAAAAAAAAAGAAAACACGTTAAAGTATTTGGCCACCAAATATTTTGGTAGCCAAATACGTAATCAAATGTTTTGGTGATTAATAATTTAGTAGCAAAAACATAACCCAAAAAGTTTTTACGGCCAAATAATTAGTAGCTAAAACAATTGAGAATGAGAGAAAGAAACTATTGGCCACTAAATTTTTTAGTCACTGGAAAAAAATGGTATCATTTGGCGACTAAAACGTTTGGTGGCAAAAACTGAAGAAGTGATTGTTAAGCGGTTTTTGGCTACGAAACTTTTAGTAGGCAAAAGTCACAACGACAAAAATTACTTAGTCGCTCAAAATATGTATTCTATTGGTGACCAAAATGTTTGGTCAATAATAGTCATTCTCATTTTACGGTAGCACTTTTAGTGACTAACAATTTAGTCGCCGAAATCACATTTTGCCGACTAAATAATGTTTTGTAGCCAAATGTGTACTTTCGGTGACCAATTCTTTTGTAGCAAAAAAGTGACACCTTCCCCGACCACATGAACTTTAGTAGCCAAAAGTCTCATTCGGCGACTAAAGGTTTTAGTGGCGGAAACATAACATTTACGGACTAAACAAATTTAGCAGCGAAATGTAGTCACTTTCGGCAACCAAACAAAGTTTAGTCACCAATACTATTGTTGACAGGGTATAGGCGACGAGTTTGGCAACAAAATATTTTAGTCGCTAAATTGTTTTAGCGACCAAATATTGGACTTTTGACGACCAATATTTTAGTAGCCAAAAGTGACATTTCTTGTAGTGAATGTTACATAATTAAATTTTTATAAATTTACTTATTATCTTGATGTGTCATAATTGCAACAACACAATCGATGATATCTTACATGCCATTCATGTGTTGATACAATAAGTGAAAAATGAAGGATTCGTTATAGTAATATATTATGACACATCAAATAGTAAAAATTTTGATAATCATAACATTTCTCTATGTTAATTAATAAACTAATTTTGGGCCTCCAAGTTGAGTTCGTGGAAAGTAAAGTGTAAAGAAAATCAATGGGTGACTTAAATTTACAATTAATTTTTGTGCATATTTCTACAATACTGCTGCAATTTTCCATGCACTTTTTTGCTTCAATACATGTATCTTTTTTCAAAATATTTATTTTTTTCACACGTAACATTACTTGGTTAACAAGTCATATCTTTTGGTTTAGTTTTACTATTTCCTTCTTGTTGAATTTGGTTAGATCACGAGTTGTAGAGATCAAGTTTTTTTAATCTCTAAAATATAAATTTTGTTGCAAAAAATTTAAGGACTAATTTTAATTATCGTGAGGACAGTCGCTAAAAAGTCGTCTTGAAAAGTCAAAAAATGAGATTTTAGAAACAAAATTTTGAAAATGTTGCTAATGAATATACTTTTATGGATAAAATAACTTGGTCAAAAAAAACATTCTTTTTGAGACATCTTTTGGTCCCATAAGGTTAGTAGTTTTTTTTTATCGGCAAAGAAGATCTTTATTGATGAAAGTATGCAAAAAGATATAAAACATCAATAAAGAGGAGCTTGGAGCTAAATGAAGCTCTAAGCTCCAGTTGGTGAGAAACTAACAAAGAGACAAGAAGAAAAAAATCAAAACAGAACAGCAGCCACTGAACCATAACACAGCACAAACTCAGCACAAACTCAGCGGACTCAACTCCTTACATAGCAGACCAAACCAACCCAGAAACCAACATCCAGACCAACATCCAGCAACTGATGAGACCAACAGTTGACTCAACTCCTTTGCCTATCAACTGACCAACTGTGGAGGAGCTGGAGCACCAAGGAAGAACAGACTAATGCAGCAGGCAGCAGACAGCAGAGCCAGACTGATAGCCGAACTGCCTTCCAGCAGGTAGAACAGACTAGAATAGCAGCAAGGAAGATCAATCTGAGCCCCTGATCTGCTTCCACTTGAAGACTATATCATCCACTGAGAAGGGGAAATCCTTGACTGATGCTTTGAGCCAGAGGGCAGATCTAAATTTGATGAGATCCAGCAGACTAGAAAAATTGGGCTGAGCCTTAGAAAAGGCACAGTCATTCCTATGCTTCCAAATAGACCACAATATGACTAAGGGAAGGGCTCTCCAAATTATTCTAACATACTTCTGAAATTTTTCACTCATCCACCAATGAAATAAACCAGCTACTGAATTTGAAATGCACCATTGAAGCCCCCATTCTTTAAGCACTGAAGACCAAATCAGCCAAGAGAAAGGACAATGAAGCAAGACATGGATTTTAGTTTCAGGTTCAGAGTTACAAAATGGACAGAGAATCGAAGTACTGCTATCAAGTATGCCAATCTTGTGCAAGAACTCTGAAGATTTCACTTTATTTTTCCAGGCCATAAGGTTAGTAGTTCATTACTAAATTTTCAATTTTGTCGCTAAAAATAAAAACAATAACACTTTTGGCGACACCAATATTTTGCCTCTAAAAAGTAATTTTGTCCTTAAATTTTTTGCCTCTAAAACCTTCATTTCTTATAGTGTTTGGATGAAAGTTCTATAATATATATATATATATATATATATAACACTACTAAAAGATATTGTGAAAACAAAATTAAAAAAAACAAAACAAAAAACAAATCAACTTATATTTCATTCACTTTTTTTTTTCTTACTTCCACAAATTTATTCTTAAAGTATTTATCCAAACACAACCTTAATTTAACAATTATAAGAACTCACTGTAGAGAAATGTGAAAATTCTCTGTGATTTGGAAATAAATTGGCATCAAGGGCAATTTGGAAGGCTAGCTAAAAGTTAGTTTTTAACTTTTAACCCATTTTAAGTTATATCACTTCTCATATTTTTATATAAAAAGATTAAAAAAAAAATTTAAAATAAAAAATTAACCTTTAACTAATTTTCCAAATCACCCCTATTTTCTTATGAATAATGTTTGGGACCCTCTTTTGGGGGTCACCTCCTCACCCCCCTTTGCCACGTGGCGGGTGGTGATTGGAGGAGTAAGGAAAAAAAGAAAAAGTAAAAGAAATGTAACCAATGAGAGAGAGAGGGGGTCAAAAGGGGTGTGAAAAAAAGAGGGGATGAATCATTATTGTTTTCTTATACTGACGGCAGGCAAGACTAATCAGAAAAGAAGAAAGTTATTCATTTGTAGCGTTAATAATTTATTTGTTATGTATATTATTACTATGTGGTTGACTATACGCTCCAAAGAATCGTTTTTTACAAGTTAGCCGATTTAAATATTTATTTATAGCTGTGAAAAAGGTAGAAAGTTAGGTTGTTATTTTTTACCTCTTACAAAACTGTTGAAACAATCTTGTGTGTAAAATAAATAAGTTGAAACAAATCAAATAAATAAAAATAAATTACTAACTGAATTTATTTTACCAAAGTGAATAAATAATTAAAAGATCAAATCGAGTGTGTGACACTCTGTCCGTAAGACAGATTTGCCCTGCTACGGTGCTTACGGACAAATGGCGTCTATCTCCCAAGATACAATGAGCTTCATAAATTGTAGTAGCACTCCAAACAATTTATACGGCGAACAAAACTAGTGATATATACTCTCAAAGTATTCCCTAAAATTTAATATGAAGAATTATGCAAAGAAAGAGCAAAATGGATTGCAAAAATGAATTTTTCAGATTGTTTTTCGAATGTCCAAGACTGTTGGAAATGGCCTCTATTTATAGGCAAACAATATGTTCGAACAGGTATGTTTTTGAACTTGAACACGTGCAAAACCCTTGAACAGATTCAAATTTGAAAACTGGACAGATGTGCAAAACCCTTGAACAGATTCAAATTTGAAAACTGGATAGATTTGCTAACTGCTTCAGTTATACAACTGTTTTGGATCTGTTCGATAGTTTCTGTTGGGAATTCGGATTGAAGGAGGTAAAATTTGGACAGAAAATTAAATTTAATTTTGGCACAAAATTAGAATTTAATTTCATTAAGAATTTATGGAAAAAATCAAATCCCGACCGCACGACAGTTTGAGCCAAGGTTCCATTTGTCCATAACTCCTCCCTTCTACAAACTTGGGGCCCAACCCAAGTGTTGCCACTTAAAGCTTATATACATTTATAAGCTCTCTTAAAATTTCAATGTGAGACAAGCCTTACAAGGAAATTCACATTTAATTCTTTAATTATCCATTCCACGAAGCCGAAAATGACGTCAAGTTCCCATTCATTCATAAATGGTTTTGATGATCTGTCTTCACCATGTGATTTGCCATGCGGCAAGAAACATGTCATCTTTTTGGACTCACCCTAAAAGACGTTTGGGGCCCGTTCAAAATTGGGCTTAAAGTTAGTCCAAAATAAGCCTATAAAACCAAATTTCCCAACAAAAACAAAGCAGAAAATAAATTTGTTCCATGCTAATGAATTTCATTACTAAATCTTTATGGATGAAGTTTTGAATTATGATTTTTTTGAAAAGTCATCATTAATGAATATGATGAAAATGATAATGGAAATGATTTCTTTGAAAACGTCCTCACAAAAATTATTGGTCAAAAAGATCATAATGAAAATGAAGTAATTTTTTCCTTTCTTTTCTGCCACATTAGTTTTTAGTTTTTTTGAGAAAATAAAATTTTAAATTTAAAAACTCAAATCACAAAAAAAAAAAAAAAAAAACCCCGTAAATAGCTTATACAAATCACAATATCATCAATGAGATTGAGCTTTTTCCATAAATCTAGAAGTTAAAAAAAATGAAATTAATAAAAAAGGATACGGTTACTGTGGTAATTTTGCATGCATGGGTTTTCCAAAGTCTGAATTGATAACTACAAGTTAACTTCCTAGAACTGGTCTTGGTGGCCATGTCTAAGCGCTTTTATTATTGTTGCCCGAGTCCAAGATATCTCACCTATAAATACAGGTATCATCACCTTACCCAAATATCACTCAAAAAACATACAACAAATCATAATCACTACTTTTATTACTACCAAAAGAGTTATGGGTTCTCACAGGTTCTCTCTCCTTGCCAGCTTTCTCTTGCTTTCTCTTGCAACCACAGCTTTCTCGTCAACACTTTCACCTTATTACTACCACAAAATATGTCCCCAAGCTTTACCCACTATCAAAAGAGTTGTGGAGGATGCTGTGAGGCAAGAGCACCGCATGGGCGCTTCATTGCTCCGCCTGCACTTCCATGACTGCTTTGTTCAAGTATGACACTATCCAACTCTTTTCATTTCAAAATTTTGTGTAGTTACTTTTGATCGCATAGTACTTGATATAATCAATTGTGATAACTAAACTAATAGAGACTTGGTGTGATTCTAATGCAGGGCTGTGATGCTTCGATTCTTCTGGACACCATTGATAGTGAAAAGACTGCAGGTCCTAACAATAATTCTATTAGAGGATTTGAAATCATTGATAGAATCAAGTCGGAGGTTGACAAGGCATGTGGGCGCCCTGTGGTATCGTGCGCTGATATTTTGGCAATTGCAGCTCGCGACTCTGTGGTTGCGGTACGTTATTATATGCTTACAATAATGTTATAGTGATCACAAAATTATAACTACACAGAATCTTATCACAAAATTCACTGTTATATAAGAGAATTGTATATGTTTTTGTGATTAATTTTTAATTTTTTTTTTAATTTTTTAATTTTTTATTTTTTATCAACATATTTGTGTGCTAAAACATGTCTTTTTTTACAAACAGCTTGGGGGACCAACATGGAATGTGCAACTAGGGAGAAGAGACTCAACCACGACCAGTAAGACTAAAGCCGAAAAGGACCTCCCCACACCATTTATGGACCTCCCTGCACTCATCGAGAACTTCAAAAATAAAGGCCTCGACGCCAAGGACCTCGTAGCTCTCTCTGGTGGCCACTCCATTGGGTTTGCACAGTGTTTTACCTTCAGGAAACATATTTACGAAGAATCCAACATCGACCCTACCTTTGCACGTGATCGCCAATCTAGATGCCCGAAAAACGATGGGAACTCAAACCTAGCCCCTCTGGACCCAACAGCTGCCATTTTCGACACCAAGTATTTCTCCAACTTGGTGAAGAAGAAGGGGCTTTTGCATTCTGATCAAGAACTGTATAATGGTGGTGAGACAGATCAGTTGGTGAAGAGCTATAGCACTGATGTTTGGTCATTCTGGAATGATTTTGCTAAGTCTATGATTAAGATGGGTAATATAAAACCATTAACTGGGAAGAAAGGCCAGATTAGATCAAACTGCAGGCGGGTCAACCAATGTTTTTAGAGTCAATTTTTTTTTTTTTTTTTTTTTTTTGGGTTTAAAACAGCATTAAATATTTAAGAAAACAATTTGATGGGTAATAAGTTTCTTTTTTCTTTTTCTCTTCCATGAGAAAGTAGAAGGAAGAGATCGTGTATATAGTTGTTTGCTCAAGGCAATGTTTGTAATGAATAGGAGCAAATCCTGGAAGGAAATCTACTTGGAAGCCTGTAATTGAAAAAATCAAGGCTAGACTGTCAGGATGGAAGAGAAAACTGTTGTCCTTTGCTGGTAGATTAACCTTAATCAAGTCCACTCTGTCTAGCTTACCGATTTACTTCCTTTCCATGTTTAAAATGCCTGAAGGAGTGGCTAAGGAAATAGAAAGGATAGAGGCAGCCTTCTTATGGGGTAGTAGTGATCTTAAAAGGAAAGTGCATTTACTGAAATGGGAGGAGGTTACAAAGAGAATTGATCAAGGGGGACTTGGCATTAGAAGGGTCAGAGATGTTAATGTTTGTCTCCTTCTCAAATGGTGGTGGAAGTTTGGCATTCAAACCAATGCTCTCTAGAGGTCAATTGTCACATGGTGCAATGCCCAGGAATCTGAGAAATGGAGCCGCATAGACAGAGTGCTTCTCAGCCCAGAATGGTTGATTAGCTTCAGAATGAAGTTATGGGGGCTGCCTAGATTAGTTTCGGATCACTGCCCTCTGTTGTTGATGGAAGATGAAAGAGACTGGGGCCCCAAGCCTTTCAGGTTTCTCAATGCTTGGACTTTCCATCCAAGTTTCTCTAAGTTCTTTGTTAACATTCGGAGCAACACTACTGTTGCAGGGTGGGCCGGATTCAAAATTGTTCAAAAATTAAAGCAGCTAAAGCTAGAATTAAAAAAATGGAACATTGAGGTGTTTGGAAATGTCTCATCCAAACTCAAGGCTTTAGAGGAGGAATTGCATGCATTAGACATCTTAGCAGAGGAAAGACTTTTGGCTGATTCTGAGAGGACAAGAAGAAGAGTGGTCAGAGGTGAAATGTGGCATTTGCTTAGAATGGTGGAGTGGATCTGGCACCAAAAATCCAGATTGAACTGGACTATAAACGGGGATAAGAATACTAGATTTTTCCATGTCTTTGCTAATACCAGATAGAGTAGAAACATGATCAGCTCTATTGTAGTTAATGGGGTGTCTTATGAGGATCCTAGCAGGGTTAAATTAGAGGTCTATCAACACTTCAAGAAGTTGTTTGCTGAGGACTGGGTCAAAAGACCTGTCTTGGGAGGGTCATTCAACACCATTGAGGCAGACTATGTTTCTCATCATCTTATTGCAGAATTCAGTGAAGCCGAGGTGTTGGCTGCAATTAAGGATTGTAATAATAACAAAGCCCCAGGCCCCGATGGTTTCAATCTGTTGTGTTATCAGAAATTTTGGAAGATTATGAAGCCTGAGATCATGCAATTCTTTGCAGACTTCCACACAAATAGCAAACTGACTTATGGAATTAATAGTACTTTCATTAGTCTAATTCCTAAGCTGGAAAATCCCTCCGGCCTATCTGATTATAGACCCATTAGTCTTGTAAGCTCCATTTACAAAATTTTGGCAAAAGTGTTAACACATAGACTGAAGCCAGCTCTATCCTCAATTATTGGTGAAACTCAAACTGCTTTCATAGGTGGAAGGAACATCCTTGATGGGGTGTTCATTGCCAATGAAGTGGTGGATGGATGGAAGAAGACCAACAAGAATGGTTTGATCTTAAAACTAGATTTTGAAAAAGCTTTTGATTCGGTTAACTGGGAATTCTTGTTCTCTCTGATAGAGCGAGAAAAGTTGAATTTGATTAATTCAACTTATAAGACTTTGGAACAATTAGAAAATTACAAAAATGAAACCATTCGTTTTGAACAACAAAGGGCGGTTAATCAAGTCCGACAACGGGTTTTCCAACAAGCCTTACAAGGAGCTCTAGGAACTTTGAATAGTTGTTTGAACAACGAATTACATTTACGTACCATCAGTGCCAATATTGGGATGTTTGGGGCGATGAAAGAAATAACTGATTAGTCCTTCTACTGTAGGCATTATTTTTTTTTTTTTTCA